TCCAGGTGGTGCACAGCAAATGTTTGATTAGTGCTACCAAATTCCCTGCAACTTGATAAGCTTCCGAGTGTGCAGGAATCATGGGGGTGAACCGCTGTAGCTGGGCTGCTGGCTCTGAGGCAAGCTGTTTGCCTTTGGGTCATAACCTTCCTAAAAAATGCATCCCAGCCCTCCTTGCAGGGTGCAGAGACACTTGGTTTAAACACACAAAAACAACCAAAAAGAAACTCACACACACACACACACACACACACACACACACACACACACCAAAAATAAATTCACACAAGATCACAGGGAAGTAGATTGAGTAGATGACAAAGAACCAGATTTTTTCCAGTGAGGCTTGAAAATGGAATATAGAGAAAGTGGGAAATTTAAAAAACCCATAGAGTATCTAATATGTGCCAGGTGCTGGATGCTTTATATATCATACTACATGGTTATCACTATTTTCCCATTTTTCAGATGAGAAAACTGAGGTGCAGACAGTTTAAAGCACTTGCCTAAAATATTTAATGTTTTAATTGATTTTAGAGAGAGAGGAAGGGAGAGGGAGAGAAAGAGAAAAACATCAATGATGAGAGAGAATCATTGATTGGCTGCCTCCTGCACTCCCCCTATTGAGAATCAAGCCAGGAACCCGGGCATGTGCCCTGACTGGGAATTGAAACATGACCTCCTGGTTCATAAGTAGACACTCAACTACTGGGCACATTGGCCTGGCTCGCCTAAGATATTTTAGCTAGAAAATTATGGAACCATAATTTGAACCCAGGATTGACTTAAAAGCTTTCAAAGTAAATGGCTCTGAAGGAATAGAGGTTCCAATGAGGTAGAACAGATGTTAAGGTGTTCTAACCATTACACAGAAAAGTAAGAGAGAGAATATAGGTCAGCCAATGGCTTCAGAAAATATGGAAATAAGTAGATTAGAAGCAGCCGAGGCTTCCCTGCATGCTGTGGGTTAGGCAGAAGACAGAGTGCCTTCTCTCAAGGAGCTTAGGGTGTATTTGAAGGAGAGGAGATTGGTTGGCCAAGAAAGGGGAGCTGCAGAGTTGACAGCTGCACAGACAAAGGATGATCAAATCAGCAGAGGGAAGAGCTTAAACCAAATGGGGGAGGCCAAAGTGATGGTGGTGGGTTATTCTGGGGCAAATAACAAAGCCCACGTGAGAAGTTACATCTGAAGTTGGTTCAAAAATTGCAGCTGGAAACGACTTCTCACCAGCTTTTACTTCTCACCAAACCAAAGAGTCAAATGTCTCATGGAAATTTCATATCTCAAACCTGATAGATGGGATGGAAGATAGTATTAAAACTGAAGGGTGGGCCAGGACAGAATGAGGATTGGTGACAAGGAACTCAGTTTTCATGACACCTGGAGTTAGAGCTGTTTCTTTCAGTGTCTTTTAGAATTGAGACCTTAGGAGGGTCTTGGGAAACCAGGGGCCAATCACAACATTGTGGTCTCAGTGGACCCAAACATTGCCTCTGCACCCATCTTCTCCATTAGAACTTACGTAGCTGGGCCCATTCTGAAAGAGCTTGCTTCCTGCTCAGTGGCAGTGGGCACAGCTGCATTAACAGATAAGTCTTGCTCACACATAACTCTAGACTCCCCCTTCATTCAACAACTGCTAAGATGCTTTTCAGAAGCAGAATATCACATGGATGCTGGGGTCAGGCTGGGATTTGAGCCTCTGTAGTGATACCCACTGGCTGTGGGACCTTGAGCATGTTACATGACCTCCTGAAGCTTTGGTTTCCTGAGCTGTAGAATTGGGATGATGACAGTACCTACCTCCCAGGGACACTGTGGACTTTGATGGCAATAATACATGCAAACCACTTAGCACATAACCAGACACATGGTGAGCACATGCAGTAAATAGCAACTTATTAGCATAATTATGATTCAGCCTGAATTATTCACTATGAACATCCTATGAATGTTAACTCCCCCTCCAGACCTGAGTTCAAACTGTTTCAGGAATGCTCTTGTCTGAATTACTCTTTTTCTCTAAAATGGTCCAAGCCCAGTTGCTATTTCTTCTATTGGGTGCTCACTGATACTCTATACCTTGAGGAATCTCTCTCCATAAGAATTTTGCTATGTCTACCTTACAACTTTCTCCTTTATAGCAGTTATTGATGCCCAAGCCTTGTTCCTATATTACAAGGATAAGCACCCTGTATCAGTCAAGCCGCTAGACTGTACTGTAGCATCAAATAACCCCCTGATCTCAAAGGTTTTAAACAGTAAAGGCTTTTGTCTCACTCATGCTCCTTGTCCACCAGCTGAGGGACTCTGTTCATGGCAGTCACTCAGGGGCCAGGCTAATGGAGCAGTCACCATCTCATTCTCTGCTGGTCACCATGCATAAAAGAGAGAGAGAGCTCGGGAGGCTCTCACACCAGCACATGTATGCTCCAGCCTGGAACTTCTTGCCACTAGTCATTAGCAAACTAGTCATCTGACCTGCTTCCGGTACCAGGAGGCAGTCAACGCAACCCTACCAGTCCCTCCTCACTCCCAAGGTGAGCAGAACAAGTAAGTGGTGAGAGTGAATGATGACTACCGCGCTCCTGGAAAGCAAAGGCAATCTCCAATTCCACTTTGCCCACACACACACCCATACACCTTTACCCAGCAGTATGCCTTATACAGAGTAAGGGCACAGGAGAAATCTTTGAGTTAAAAACTGAGTGAATATATCAGTGTACAATTGTTTTATCTCTCCCAATAAAGATCAATGCCTTGGATCAAAAATCTCTTAGTGCATGGTAGCAGAAATCTCAGGTATCCTCAGGACAAGTCAGAAGAGATGGTATTTGGGTACAGGACACAAATACCATCTGTTATTCACACCATGTGTTTTTAAATGTAAAAAGATGTATGAATTATTATGACAGTCAATAACTGGGAAGGATTCATTGCCCTAAGGAAACTGATTCACACATGAGATAACATTTACACATGAGGTAGCTGGAAAACAATATGTAGCTACTTGCAGAAAATGCATGAAAATTGGTACAGAGTGTGTCCAAAGGAGGAACTGCAAAGTAGATCAATTCTTGAGGTTGAGTTCTATGCGAAGGTCATTTTTTAATATATATATATATTTTTTTTATTGATTTTTACAGAGAGGAAGAGAGAGAAATAGAGAATTAGAAATATCGATGAGAGAGAAACATCGATTAGCTGCCTCCTGCACACTCCCTACTGGGGATGTGCCTGCTACCAAGGTACATGCCCTTGACTGGAATTGAACCTGGGACCCTTCAGTCCACAGGCTGACACTTTATCCACTGAGCCAAACGAGTCAGGGCATGAAGGTCATTCTTGACCTGATTTTTAAAGGTAGTACGCAGCTTGGAAAAGTTTGGAGGAGGAAAAAGTCCTGTATCTTCTAAAGCTCACCTTGTTCATATCTTGAAGAAACTATGAATCTGAAATGAGGCCTTACTCTATCACAGAGAGGAACAGTTTTACTCCTTAGTTCTTGACAACAAGAGCAGTTATAATTATTTGAGAGCTTCTTCCATTCCCTCCTGACATCTGTGGCCACTCTGGCCAGTTCCCTTCAATGCCCCAAGGCTAGGAATACCTGGGGTTGAAAATGTTTATGGATTGAGGTACAGAATCCTAAACTCTTCATTCCCACTATCTCCTCTTATATTCCCTAAGAGAACATGAAAAAATAGAAATTCCACCCGTGTTTCTCATTCCAGATGCTAGCTAGAAAGAAGAGCATCTTGGCACTTGCATGGAGAAGAGGTACAAATCACAAATTTCTCCATCACGATCTAAGAATGTAGAGCAGTGGTTCTCAACCTTCTGGCCCTTTAAATATAGTTGCTCATGTTGTGACCCAACCATAAAATTATTTTCGTTGCTACTTCATAACTGTATTGTTGCTACTGTTATGAATCATAATGTAAATATCTAATATGCAGGATCTTAGGCGACCCCTGTGAAAGGGTCGTACGGCCGCCAAAGGGGTCGCGACCCACAGGTTGAGAACCGCTGATATAGAGGGTGCATAAAGGCCACGGGTGCACACCCATATGTATTTGTGTCAGATAGGACTATGAAGCCAAGAGATCCTTATACATCTAAATGTAGGTTCCCCCTTCATAGAGACATACTGATGTCTGCAAGCATCTAATGAGGATTTTTTAAATATTGAATAAATAATTAAGTGAAGACAGAAGTAAAATATTCATATATATAAATATGTGCATATAGACACACTGTAATCTGGCATGGATGAGAACAAGAGTTAATCCTTTGAGACATAAAACCTTTTTGATTTAAAACAGTTTTGATAGAAACCTTTCTAAAACATGGGACACAAGTGTGAGTCCTGGTATGCAGAAGTAACTGACCATCCTGAAGCTATTTCCTGGTGCTAAAGATCTTTTTTCTGAGCAATTATTGGCTTGCTGTGGAAACTTATAGCTTGATGGGTGAAACAGAATGTGTGCCAACTCCAGGGTAGGCTTGCAATTTATTTTCTTGAGTAAATTTTCCTATTGGTTTGACGCTTTATAATTTTTCTTCCTCATAAACGTGGGCTACCGATTCCATCTTCATCATTTCTTGAACCATGGAACATAGCTCTCTTTCTCCAAAAGTAATAGTAAATCCAGAGGCCAAACTTAGCTTTTCCAAAAGGATTGTCTCATTCGTCGTCGTCATACTATTCCTCATCTTCAAGGACTGACCATTTTTGCAATATAAAAGGCATCTTGCCTTTGGTTACTCTCAGGGTCCCAAAGCAACTTCAACCAACATTTTGTCTCCCTTGGATTAAGTAAATGTGCAAACATTGCAAAATTGCCACCTTTTAGGGTTTTACTGAAAACGGTTTCTCAAACAGTTGTTCAACTACTACAGAATGAAAAGCTGCTGTATATTTGAGGATATTTGCTCACAGATGCCAGAGGGCAAGGCAAGCCTTGGGCAAAATAAGAAAATAGGCTGTTTGCCATACCTCACCTAATGCTTCTCTTTTTCATCCTCCCCTTTTTCCTGAGCCTAGTGCCCTTGCTAACCCTTATTCCAAAAGACCTGCATATTAGATCCCACACTCACTCCAAGAAGTAAAATTGTTGACGTTGCTAAAAGACCCTTGCATTTTGACAGATATACAAACTTTAGGTTAAAAGGTCACTGTGGCAACCCCTTCCATGTTTGGGAAAGAATTTGAGAGGAGGAAAGAGACTTGCCATAGGCCCTGGAGCTGCAGAACATAGGTGGTGCCTTATTCTCCCTACACACAAGGCTGCAGACAAGAACCGTGTTCTGGGAGAAACCGAGGTCTGGAACAGGCACTGACATGTCCAGGTGGTGCTAAAGAAGACCTCTGTTTGCCCTAGCCGGTTTTGTTCAGTGGATAAAGCATCAGTCTGCAGACTGAAGGGTTCCAGGTTCAATCCCAGTCAAGGGCATGTACCTTGGTTGCAGGTTCAATCCCTGGTCCTGGTTGGAGCACATACAGGAGGCAACCAATCGATGTGTCTCTCTCATGTTGATGCTTCTCTCCCTCTGTGTCTCCCCCTCTCTTCCACTCTCAAAAAAAATCAATGGAAAATATTCTCAGGTGAAGATTAATTTAAAAAGAGAGACAGAGAGACCTCTGTTTGTCCTGCTTCCTCTGTTTCTTCTTTCCATCATCTCATTGGACTTCGTAAGGCAAGTAGTGAGTCATCTCAGGCAGTATCTCAGCACTACCTCATGTGCGTGTAGGCCTCCAAGAATGGGACAATCTGACCATCTGTCTGTCTGCCCAGCCTCATGGCAGGAATGGTGCTCCATTGTGCTGTCTGTCCACATCCTCATGGGCCAATTCATTCATTCTTCATGGGCCAATTCATTCATTCATCATTAAAGAAAAGTTCCCTGAACACCTACTAAATGCCAGGGATTTTTCTAGTAATAAACAAAGAGATAAAAATCTTACTCTAATGGAGCTTTCATTGTATTATCGGACAGAGATAAGAAAAAGGGTGCACAAATAGAATGGGCTGTATATAGAATGTTGAGGAAAGGGGTTAGGAGGTGAGTGTGTATGAGGGCCATGATTTTAGTTGGGGTGATCAGGTCTGAACGACCTAAAGGAAGTGATGTCAAATTGCTACATGTCATGAATGGCCACTGGGGCCAGGCGTTGTGCTGAGCACCTTTGAACTCTCACAATAACCCCTGATGACGCTCAACATTGCTAGGGTCCATTTCACAGATGAGGGAAGCAACATTCAGAGAGGTTAAATACACTGTCCTGGGACACACAGAAAAGAGCAGGATCCAAATTCCAGAATCCTAATCACTGTGCTGCATTACCAACTGGAAATAGGCAAAGTCACACAAGAACATCTGGGCCCCTCAGGAACCTCAGGACATGCTCTCACCAACAACATCCCTGCCCCCAGCACATACACTTTTCACCTATCCTTGTTGGTTTTTTACTTTTTATCTACGTGTTTAATATATTTGATTTATGTGGATTCTTGCTACTAAATGTTTAGAAGGAGGAGAATTGAAAAAAATACAGTTGACTGGCCCCAGGTAAAGGCTTGTGGGCCAATGAAAGTCTCAGCGCTTCACAGCACAGCATGGTATCAACGTGCCCAATGTTGACCGGAGTTCACCATAAAATGTCGGAGTGCGTTTAATAGCTCTGTTTAAGATGGACCAGAGTAGAATAACATAGTTTTAAAGAATTCCATTGAAACAGTTATTGTATACAGTATTTGCTTTAACTGGCACATACCATGCTTACATAAAGAATTCACTTATCTAAAAGGCTGAAGTAAGGTATCATTTTGTGGGACTATACACATTATATCTGAATCTTTGAACATATGTCCATGGATTTATATGCAAATATGTATGCATATAGTTTTCTATCTCATGTTGAAATAAAAATACACAGACAATTAGATAGTTCCATTTTTATTTAAATTGAGATTAAACTTGTTTGTTTTTAAGAGTACATTTGCTTTCTAATAATGTGCATCAACTTATTTTCTTTCTTAACCAGTGAATTCTTAGTAAATGAAGATGGGGCATGAAAGAGTTTTCTTCACCGGCTCCTTCAGCATTCTCTTTATAAAAACACTTGACTGGAAATCCTCTCCTCTCTCAGTGTCTCCCCTATACCTATGTGATGATATTGTTAAATATTAATTTGATATGTTGATAACATTTTAAAGCTATTTGATATTCATATTATCTTGACCTATTAACATAAAAAGGTCTAGGAAGACCCTCAAAACCTAAACATGTCTCGCCCCCTCTTGTCTATCCATGCATTAAATTTTGCCCATAGTTGATGACTTGCTTGATGGAAGCCTTGTCCCCTGGCAGCATGCACTTATAAAAGGTATTCATCCCTCGAAGACATGACACATAAGTTGCTTTAATGGAAAATCAAGTGCCAGTTCATTTTTCTCCAAAGTTGTCTCTGTGCATCATGGAAATTCAAGGTCTGGAACAAGCAACTCAGAAAATTTTGAAGGTCTGCTAGCTCTAGGGGGTGGGAGAAAACTCAATGTTCTTGAGAGCAGTAACAAAAGCCCTAGGAGTAGACCAAACTCATCCACTCTCACTTGGCCTCTTCCAAGTTGTCTAAGGGAACACCCAACGTGCTCTCTTCCCTACCCTGTTTTGCATAGCTCTGCTTTATAGGCTGGATGGACACCACCCATCATTTTTCTACCAGTTTTCCTTATCAGAGCAGCAGCCAACACTCACTGAGTTCAAACTATAGGACATGCACCTTACAAGCATTATGATCCCATTGAGTCCTCCCACTTTGCAGAAGAGAGAATGGAGATCAAGGTCTCACCATAGCAAGTGATTGGGAGATGCAGGTGTAAATGACTCCAGGCTCTTAGCTCCTCCTCACCCTATCTCTCAGATGCTCTTAAATCATTCAAGTTTTCCTAGTTAGAGCAACTCAGCAGTTTATCATTTGCCTCGCGAAAGAAGCCGTAAACATGATGCACATTAAACATTAAATACTTTATTGTGAAGCAATGATACTTTCACTAGTCCAAGTTTATGAGGTCAATAAACTGAATTAAAAATGCTTTGTCTACTTCTTCTCATTGTTCTGTTGTATACCAGGGTGTCAGGAGTCGCTTTGTACTGTCATCAGTTTGCTGCTTTGGACATCCCCACTCCTCCTCATTGATTTAATATAATATATTAGGGTGCTGGAAATCAAAGAATCAGACTGTAAAACTGTGTTTAAATAGAAAGTAAAGACACACTGAATCAAGTCCTCGGGCTTCACTACAAGTAAAATATATATGATATTCGTAGCATCCTTTTCAACTCACAGTGTTTGGGTTATTTTAAATTTAGAATCACAGATTGTCAAAGTAGAAATTACTTTTAAGACATTTTTTTATAATGGTCATCCTACTGGTATGATATATGTCTCATTATGGTTTTGATTTGTATTTCCTTAATGACTAGTGATGTTAAGCATGTTTTCATATACCAATGGCCATTATATGTTTCTTTGGAAAAATTTCTGTTAAAAGCCCATTTTTGGGGTCTTTTGTTTTTTTGTTCTTGAATTGTAGGAGTTCTTATATATTTTGGATATAAACGCCTTATCAGTTATATGACTTTCAAATATTCTCTCCCACTCCATAGTCTCCCTTTTTACTCTATTGATTATTTTCTTTGTTGAAATTGGAACTCTTGTGCATTGTTGGAAATCTAAAATGCTGCCACCATTATGAAAAGCAGTATGGAGGTTCCACAAAGAATGAATGTATAGTAATGTCACTTCCAGGTATTTATATTTTTAAAAATTGAAATAAATATCTCAAAGATATATTTGCACCCCCATGTTTATTGCAGCCAAGAGATGGGAACAACCTAGATGTTCACCAATGGATGAATGGATTTAACAAATGTGGTATACACATCCAATGAAACATCATTCAGCCTTAAAATAAGAAAAGAAAAATCTTGTTATATGTTACAATCAAGTGGATGAGACTTGAGGACATTATGTTAAGTGAAATAAGCCAGTCGCAGGACAAAAACTGGATGATTCCTACTTTTATAAAGTAGTCAAACTCATAGAAGCAGAGAGTTAAATGATAGTTGCAGATCTGGAGGCAGGGGGACATGGGGAAGTGCTCTTCAATGAACTATAGAGTTTTAGTCATGCAAGATGCGAAAGTTCGAGATACCTATACAACAATTTATATATAGTTAACAATACTGTCATGTACACTTACATTTTATTAAAAAGTAGATTTTATATTATGTGTTTTTTAGCACAACAAGAGAGAGAGAGAGAGAGAGAGAGAGAGAGAAAGATCTAATCCAGCTTCTACTTTTGCTAATGAAAAAATTGAGGCTTAGAAAGAATGGGTAGTTTTCTCAAATCACAAAATTAGAGAAAGAACCAGACCTGAACCCACACACTCAGAGATCTGCTCCTGTGTTTGCCAGGATTTCTGCCTCCTTCCCTGCAGGGCCCCCCAGGGAGAAACACAAGATGCATTGAATCTGGAGTTGATAAGGACACGTAGCCACAGCCATTTGAATACAATCCACTGCCTGACAGAGAAATGTCACCTAAAACATCTCTGACAGCTAGTCCACCACCTTCTGCCTAAACAAAAGGGTGAGCTTCTCAGCATTGTCAAGGAACTCATTCTATGTTGAACAGTGATAATTTTTAGGACATTATTAGGAAATTGCAATCTGACCCTTACTTCTCCCATTCATGTACTCCAGTCTTACTTTATAGAAAGGCTCCATATGGGAGCCTTTCGAATATTTGGAGACAACTACATTATGTCTCTATAAGTCTTCTCCCAAGTTAGAATAGGTCCCTCAGCCAACTGGTCATGTGTGATGTCATTTCCAGGTATCTTACCCTAACCATTCTGATCATCCTCTTTCACACAAATGCTAGTTTGTTCAGGTTCTTTTTCAAATAGTGCTACCAGCACTGAACACATTGT